TTATTAATTTCTTTAATATATATATATATATATATATATATATATATAACTGAGCATTGTCTTTTTTAAGAATCTATTTTAAATGTTAATCAGTAAAGACAGTGATGTCTTTGTCATTGTCTTGTGCAGTGATGAAGCGGAGAGTAAACTCACCCAGCTCTTGATCTCAATGGCCAGATGCAGGATGATGGTGAACAGAGACACTGTGTTCATGGGAGTGCCGAACGCGAATATACCGATGTCTGAACCATTGTACGTCTTGAGAAAGCAAAAGCAGTGATCAGATGACAGGTTACTCCGAACACATGACAGAAACAGACGAGAGACTGCACAGATGTTCTCACCCAGTATGGAATAAAGAAGCACACTAGACTCTGATAGAAAGCATCGAGAATCGCAATTATGCACAATCAGCTTGTAACACTCCAAAGAGAAAGGAAAACTTGAAATCGCATCATATGACCCCTTTAAGTCTCACCATCATGCATTTATTTGATCAAATGTACAGTAAAAACTAAAAATTGGAAAAATATTATTACAATTTAAATTACTCTTTTCTGTGTGAATATAAACACATGACAGAAACAGACGAGAGACTGCACAGATGTTCTCACCCAGTATGGAATAAAGAAGCACACTAGACTCTGATAGAAAGCATCGAGAATCGCAATCCAAAATGTTGAACGCCTGTAGCCCTGTAATCAAACGATATTCCGTTAAAAGCAAAATATTTCAACAATGTCATATTCACAGCTATTTGTTAACTGTGAGGCAAAACCATAGGCTGGTTCACCCATTGTTAACTCTTTCCCTGCCATTGACGGAAATTTCCAGCTTTCCGTGTTTTCACTGTTATACAGTAGGAGGCGCTAGTACACATCTTCTGAAAGAGTACAGAATCTCTGGGTCAAAACACGGCGAAGAAGAAGCAGAAACAGGTGATCGTGTATGTAAGCAGATGCATATGTAAAATAACGCAATCAGCGAACAGCATATAAATAAAAACTGCCTAATGTTACTGAATGAAATGTCGACCCTGGAAGCGGTTTAGGACTGTGAAGCTTTGAGAGTGTTGATGAAGCGATCGACTCCATCTTTGTTTAGATCATCGTTCTAAATCTGATCCAGATGTAGTCTTTGACAAAAAAACACGATTTTCTCAGCTTTTTGTTCGAAATGTTGCTTTTTTCATGAAATTTACCCACATTCAGGTGTTGATTAAAAAGAATGCATGAAGCTAGAATAAAACGGTTTGTTTTGTTTAAAAGCAGAGGCTCTGTTCCTACTTTTGACATATATTGCATGTTCAGATATTTGTGACCCTGGAGCACAAAAGCAGTCTTAAGTCGCTGGGGTATATTTGTAGCAATAGCCAACAATACATTGTATGGGTCAAAATTATCCATTTTTCTTTTATGCCAAAAATCATTAGGATATTAAGTACACATCATGTTCCATGAAGATATTTTGTAAATTTCCTACCGTAAATATATCGAAACTTAATTTTTGATTAGTAATATGCATTGCTAAGAACTTCATTTGGACAACTTTAAAGATGATTTTCTCAATATTTTGATTTTTTTGCACCCTCAGATTCCAGATTTTCAAATAGTTGTATCTCAGCCAAATATTGTCCTATCCTAACAAACCATACATCAATTTATGATGCATAAATCTCAATTTCGAAAAATTGACCCTTATGACTGATTTTGTGCTCCAGGGTCACATTTATACAACAAAATATTCTGGGGTTACACTTTATTTTGATAGTCCACTTTAGACATTCTACTAACTATAAGTAACTTTGTAACTACATGTCAACTACATGTCAACTAACTCTCATTCATTTGCAACTACATGTCTATTAACTCTCAGAGTAGACTGTTAGGGTAGGTGTAGGGTTAGTAGAATAAGTTGAAAATATACTTCCAAAGTTTCTGATAGTCAGTATGTTGTTGACCCATCAAAATAAAGTGTTAGAAGATATTAAGCAGACAGTCTACTAATACTCTAATGACTGCTAGTTGACATGTAGTTGCAAAGTTACTTACTGTTAGTAGAATGTCTAAAGTGGACTATCGAAATAAAGTGTTACCAAAAAAAAAAAAAACACTGGTGGGAAAAGAGTTAAAAATGACCAAAGGTCTTGCATAGCAACTATAGTCTAACTGTGATATTTATAGAAACTACAGGTTTCTATGCTTGTAACCATGGTTTCTATAAAACAAACTATGGTATTTGTTTTGAATGCATTTAGAAACTAATTAGAACTGCCATAGTTGAATGAAACTGATTCTTTAACTATCTTCATTTATTTTTATTACGAGAAAAAAAAAAATCGTAGTTATCCCAGATTGAGTTGATATAGTACTAAAGCAATGATAGACTGTCATCCGTGACAGCAGGACTGCTCACCTCCGAGTGCTGTCCTCTCTTATAGAGCTCAGGCAGGCTCAGTAACGTGGAGTCTGACACCTCTTTGTCCATGATCCCAAACATGATGGGAGGCGCAGACGTGAAGAACAGGTTGAAAAATATCATGAGCCAGTAGTCGATCATGGCTGTGGCGGAGAAGCCGCAGAAGAACTGATACCAGAACAGCAGATTCACGTATGCCTGCGTGAGACGACACAGGTTAGATAGTGAGTTCTGGTGCTAATTCATCAGATTTAAAGGGGTCATATGATGCGATTTAAATTTTTCCTTTCTCTTTGGAGTGTTACAAGCTCTTGGTGCATAAAGAAGATCTGTAAAATCTTTCATTTAAATAGGATAACATGCCCCTCCGCCAATTTTTGATTGGACAAAATCAAGCCCCGCCCCACATTTTTTCTTATGCGAGAATGTGTCACAATCGGTAAGAAAAACAGTCACAATTTCCTTTTCATGCTGACGTAAAACATTCCTGAACTAGTCAATCAGAAAAAAAACCTCTTTAAAAAGTATGGTTTTATTGATTTAAAAAAAAAATATATTAAGGGTGCAAAACATACAACATACGGTGAACACAAAAACAGCAGTAGAACAGCAATGATAATAACAGCAATGAAAATAACCAGCAATGACAAGCTGAA